CCCCAAAACCCCAAAACCCCAAAACCCCAAAACCCCAAAACCCCTTTTGGGTATATAATTATTGATTTATAATAATTATATTATAATTAAATATGTTTGGAAAGTTTTTCAGGAAATCTCTCTCAAAAGGAAAGGACCTCAAGGCCTTGACCAGGCTCTCATCTATGAACTTCAGATCGACTCCAACAGCCAGCCAGAAGTTGGGCATCGGAGATGCTGCAGATATTTTGGAGCAGAAGATTTCAGGAATTTCACAAGTTGTAAGGACTCGAAATAATATCTATAGAACGACATTAAGGAGTTCGGTAAAGTTATTTCCTTCGGAGATGGTATTGCCAGAGTCTTTGGACTCACTAAAGTCCAAGCTGGAGAAATGGTTGAATTCTCCTCAGGAGTTAAGGGTATGGCTTTGAATTTGGAAACTGATAATGTTGGTATCGTCGTCCTTGGAAACAACGATAGAGATATTTTTGAGGGCGACTCTGTCAAAAGGACTGGTGAAGTAACTAACATCCCCATTGGAGAAGGTATGCTCGGAAGAGTCATTAATACCTTGGGAGAGCCAATTGATGGAGGTGATCCAATCCATACAACTGAAATTCAGTCTGTCGAAGCTAAGGCTCCAGGAATTATTGTCAGAAAATCTGTGCATGAGCCAATGCAGACCGGACTCAAATCCGTCGACTCATTGGTACCAATTGGAAGAGGACAAAGAGAATTGATTATTGGTGATAGACAAACTGGAAAAACAGCTGTAGCAATTGATACTATCTTGAACCAAAAATCTGGATTCGCAGAAGGAATAGACCCAAACCAGAGACTCTACTGTATCTATGTTGCCATTGGACAAAAGAGATCGACTGTTGCAAATATTGTTAAGGTTCTCAAGGACAATGATGCCATGAAGTACTCTATTGTATTAGCTGCCACTGCTTCTGAAGCTGCTCCACTCCAATTCTTGGCTCCTTACTCAGGATGTGCCCTTGGTGAATACTTCAGAGATACTGGAAGACACTGTTTGATCATCTATGACGATCTCTCAAAACAAGCTGTTGCTCATAGACAGATCTCACTATTGTTGAGAAGGCCACCAGGTAGAGAGGCCTATCCAGGAGATGTCTTCTACTTGCATTCCCGTCTTTTGGAAAGAGCAGCTAAGCTCCACGAAGGCCATGGCGGAGGTTCATTGACAGCTTTGCCAATCATTGAGACTCAAGCCGGTGATGTGTCTGCTTATATTCCAACTAATGTGATCTCCATTACTGATGGCCAGATTTATTTGGAATCAGAATTGTTCTTCAAAGGTATCAGACCAGCAATTAATGTCGGTCTTTCAGTGTCAAGAGTAGGATCTGCTGCCCAGATCAAGGCAATGAAGCAAGTTGCTGGATCCCTCAAGCTGGAGTTGGCTCAGTACAGAGAAGTTGCTGCTTTCGCTCAGTTCGGTTCAGACCTCGATGCTACTACTCAGAACTTATTGAACAGAGGAGAGAAACTCACTGAATTGCTCAAGCAGAAGCAGTATGTCCCAATGAAAGCCCAAGAGCAAGTATGCTTACTTTATGCAGGAGTCAGAGGATTTTTAGATAAATTGGAAACATCTGAAATTGCCAAGTTCGAGACTCTTTTCTTAGAAAATTTGAATGCCAAGCACAGTAATGTATTGGACTCTATCGCAAAGCACAAGGAATTGTTGCCAGAAGTTGATGAAGAGCTGAAACAAATTTTGACTGACTTTATTCCATCTGCTGGACTTAAGACCAAGCAATAAATGATGATAGGACCATGTCTTTAAAATAATATAAATGATTCTGAGGGCAATAATATTTAAATAAGGAGGGGTTTTGGGGTTTTGGGGTTTTGGGGTTTTGGGG